AGGTATCAAATGAAAAGGTTTGATGAATGCTATGATTCATGCTACAAATAAACTTTTTCCAACGCCATCTTCGATTTCAAACGATTATCAACTTTTGATTTTCAAATTGCTCGGTATGTTTTTCTTCACGTTATGGGGTAGAGATGTTTTTTTGAGCCCATCGATCTACAATACATTAACATTAATTGTAATTTTAGCAGAGAAAAACAATTAAAACATTTTCCGAACATTGTCTGTAATACTGCAGTGTGCCATGGAAAAAAATAACACGCAAAACTGATAACAGTCATTAAATGCTATGTCAATGCCCGAAGCAGTTGTAAATGATACTTATAAGTTGTTTTTTCATTTATCCCGTGGCACACTATAGTATAATACAAGTGACTTTAAGAGAATGTTCAGAAACTATTTTAATGTTTTTCTATGCTACTATTACAATTAATGTTGATGTATTGTACATTAATGGATTCAAAAAAAAACTCTATCCAATAGCGTGAAGAAAAACATACCGAGCAATTTGAAAAGCAAAAGTTAATAATCGCTTAAAATTGAAGATGGCCTTGGAAAAAATATATTTGTAGCATAAATCATAGTATTCATGAAATCATTTCATTTGATACCCCGCTCATGAAAATCGGAATGTAAATGACAGAGTTACAGCTTGGGGCGTTTTTTGTGTGACACCCTGTAAATGCTGAAAGTTTGGGAAACACTGCAGTAGATCAAAGTATTGATCATTAGTTTTCTTAGTATTTTTGTATCATAGAACTATGTAATAATCCTAATTATATCCTGAATTAGCATGATAAATGCACACTTTATGAATGAGAAATTAGGTTTTTTTTAGTCCACCTTCTACAGAAGTCACCGTGTCATGGGCTAAGAATATCCAATTTAATAGTTAAAAAAATTTGAGTGTGTGGGCTCTTAAAAATAATTCAAATTGGGTCGTTTAAAGCTTCACAACAGGATAAACGATGACCTCGCAGCTTGAACTATGACATAATATAAAACAGGCAGAGGGGCGACAACGGTTTCTTTTTTTCCTTCATTTTTTAAACGAAAGGAGGTTTACGACGGGCGTAACTTCTCTCTCTGCGGTCGCACGACGACGCGACGCCGTCGACGTAGAAATAACGGAAAGTGCACCTTTAAAAAACGGAAACGGGAAGTCACTTATAATTAGCGACTCGTTTATAAACCACAGAACGGTTAAAAAGGTTAGCTACTGATACGGGCAAGCTTTTTTAATATTTTTTCCAAGTTATTTACATTTTGATTTGAGTTCGAAGGACACGCCATGCATCACTGTTATTTATAGACCGATATATACGTTACATAGTTTCGTCGCGAGTATATATAGGAGGAACGACGTCGAAAATCGGGGCGTCGTTCAATGATAATTATTTAATAATAAAAAATTATTATCGTTAAGTAAACTTTATGTAATGAGGCCCATATCTTAAGAGCCCGGTCCTTGATTATGCTTTTAACGCAGAGATAACGTTAACTGGCGGAGATATCGTTTAAATAAAATAGGTAAATAATCTAACTAACTTGTATTTTGTATTATTTTAATTATATTTGTTTAATAACCAACACCAGAGACTAAAATATGTCAATAAGAATCAAAATCGAACGAATGTAGGTAGGTTTCTCTGGGTTCACTGACCACTTAGGGCATAGGTACTATTAACCTGCTAAAGCCACAAAAGTTTTTCCGAGTATTTTGAATAAACTTAATCATTACAACTTGTTAAAAGTTTTAGTTATTGATGAAACGACGTATAAAGTCGGACTTATAAAGGCGGGTAAATTGTTTCCATAAGAAATGTGGGTTACACCTATTCAGCGGCGATATCGGCCATGTTTAAAGGTTATACTTTATTGGGATTAAACTCTATTAATTTAACTTATATCGCACACTATTTTATTACTAACCTGCTAAAGTGCCCCTATGCTAAGTCCACACACACCACGGAACACAATACTACAATCACTCTACTGGATATTAACTGATTTCCACGAAAAGAAGTCACTCTGCTCTGCCCTCCATGTCCTAACAAGTTACAATGCGCGTGCGCACGATCGACGCCTGTCAACTTCTCCAGCAAGGAACACACCCAACTTTAAATTAAAAAAAAATTAAACAATAAATTATATAATAATTTGTGTTTATATTTTTCATTAAGTTATTTTGTTTGATTTAATTAGTATTTGAAACAAATTTAAAAAGAAGTAAAATTCCGATATTCAAGTGAAATGTCAAAATAGTTTTGACATTTGAACCTCAAATCAAGGGTTAAAAATTATTAAAAAAATTAATTATAAAGTATATTTAATTAAAATTGTGCCCCTATATTACTTATTTTATCGTTCTGTCCTATTTAATTTAAACTTGTAAAATATTTAAAAAAGAAATAGAGTTTTATAAATTAGCACAATTTTGGACGAATCGAACTACGCCTACGTGAACATAAAATTTTACGGTTAAAGTAGATATTTAGAGTTGTTTTACTTTTAAGTTACTTTCAATCTTTATATTTTATCTAAATTATCTCCTTAGATCATTATTTAAACCTATTTATAAACATTTATGTAAGTATATTCGTTGTCATCAACAAATTAAACCTAACCTCAAAAATTAATTTCTATAAACCCAATAATTATTTATATTTAATAACCATTTAGAAAGAAATTATGGCTAGATATCAACATTATCAAAGACGATATAAAGGTTACAGCGATTTAAGAAATTTCTTGGATGATAAACACCAAAGAGGGGAAGAACCTAATTCTGCTCCATGTGATCCTCCTTCTTTGCTTCGAGACCCACTACGTGGTGACAATCTGCAAAATTATAATAGAGTAAGGACTTAACAATTTATTTATTTAATTTAAAAAAAAATTATTTGAATAATAAGCTTCCTAGAAATGATATTTATCGCGGTCGAGGACGTTTTCAAAGACGCCCCAATTACAATGCAAATTATACAAGACCCAGAGGGTATAATAATAACCCAAGGGGTTATAATACCTCAAGGGGTCATCCATCGAGATTACCCACAAATCCCACGAATATAAAAATCGAATTTTCAACTGAATCAGGAGAACGAAAATATCAAATTGAACCAGAAAATGATATTTCTGATAAATTTAACGCTGGAGATCGGGGAAGAGGAGGTACTAACTACAGGAATAGATATGGGGGGTATCGCCACGGACGAGGGCATCGTGGGTATTATTATAGAAGATCAAAAAATGACCAAAAAATTAATTCTGAAAATTCCCAAAATGCCCCACAAGAAGTTGATAATAAAAAAGTGGAAGATGAGGAAAATTGGGATATTCCTGTACATGTAGAAGAACAAAATCAAAAAGAATTAGATTTAAAAGAAGATGTTATAAATAAACTTGAAGAGTATCATGACGACAGAGATGACACTCTTTATGTTGAAGGAGAATATTTAGATGAAGATGAATATTATGAAGAGGATGAAGTACAAGAAAACGTTATTGAAGTGCAATCTGAACTAGAAGAAAAGGAAAAAATTGAAGATACTAAATCAGAGGAAAAAGTGGAAGAAAAAACTGACGAAGAGAAACTAGGTTTGGAAAGTGAAAGTAACAAAAATAATGATGATAAAAATGATGTTAAAACTAATTCAAAAGATGATTTGATTGTTACGGAAGCCTTAAAAGAATCAAAATGTGATACTAAAGATGCAAAAGGATCACAAGATGAATCCAAAGATTCAAAACATGATTGTAAAAGTCCTGATGTAAGTGAAAATAAAAAGGAAATTGAATCCAACAAGAATTAAAGGTGGATTTGGAACGTAAATAACTTAAATTAATTTGAAATAATCATTTCTTAAAAAAGAAATTGTTCTGTTATAGATTTTATTCAGTGTTAAAACAAATACTTTATATATATGTTTAATTGTTAAAAATTATCAATAATTGATAATTATTGTGGAATTTATTAACATTATTAGTTTATTGAATAATAAAATTTTAAATTAATAGTTATTTCTGTAGCAAGGTTAGTACATTTATATACTTAACTTATGGAATCATTACATCTTGCTACATAATCTACCTACATCGACCAATATGATACATAAATAACTATTTAATATAAACTAAGTGTAATTTTGAAAATTGAATATATTGGTCTGTCAAAGCCTTAGACGAACATTATATATCGTCGGCCTAATTTTAAATGAATAAATAATTTTAGAGGAGTAAAAAAGTTTCAAAAATTAATTTTCAAATATATAATTGTTCTATTGCTATAGAATATCAAATATGCGTTCTATCTTATATATTTATGGGTTATTATGTATTAAACAATATTTATTGACATTAAAAAGGACTTACGGGATTTACTCATAAAAAATTCAAATATAATTGGACATACTGGATTTTCATGTTTAAAGAATAAATACGGAATTATTAAGAATACACTAAACATTTTAAGGTATTTATTTACCAAATTATTGCAAAATTACAATTTTTTAGAATAAACAGATACAGATTCAAACAAAATATACTTATTTTTCGAAGAAACAGATAAAACAGAATAGTTAGGTATATTTTAAAATATATAGGGAAATTATTATAAGACATTGCAACGGTCTTATTTAACAAATGGAAGGTTGTTATAAAAGTAATGATAATCTCTTTGTAAACTTGACCTTAGAGGAAGATCATCCACTGGACATTTAGCTTCTTTTCTCTAACCTTTACTTACTCGGCTATAATGAAGTTCATCAAAATCTTCTGTATGCCTCAATTTATAAAATAAAGAACTTTGCTGGACGTATAGATTTCAAATAATTTAACATGTGAAAATCCTTGAAGAAAGTATAATCCAAATAAAAAACTTTATAAGGTTGTTTTTCTTGAGCTTTCAAACAAATGTTCACATAATCGGCTGGTACATTGATGTCTGTGTGCCGCATCCGTTTCTCAATCGTTGAATGCATCGAATCGGCTTCCATCTGGGTATGGCCTTTTTCGAGGTATGTTTGTTCAATAGTTATATCCAGATATTACTTTTTGTCTTGGTTCCATATTCATAGAAACATTATCTATTATAAATTTGCAGATTATAGTAGAATAGTCATTTGCTGAGACACTCCCATTTTATTCATGCCATAAGTAACAATATCCATTTTTAGTTTTTAGGTCAAAAAATGTGAAGTTATGTACCATTAACTTCTGTTTGAAGTAAAGTGATGAAGTATTTGACTTCGGTGATAACAGAACTGATTGCAGGTCCATGCAAAAAATATTACTTTCTGCTTCTTTATCTTTTATTTTTTCTTCCCTTGCTTCTTTTTTCATTGTCTGGTGTAAGTTGAAAATTTCATCTGCTAGATTTCCAGTTCTATGACTTACACATTCGTCTTTCTTTGGACGAAAGAGCGACAAGTTCATTTTCTCAAAAACATGATCAAATGATGTACTGGATGCGAACTTGTATTTATTACCTGCGCACCATTGTTTGTAAAATGTATAAATTGACGATTTTGACTGCCATAATGGCTCTAAGTAAAATTTTGATGATGACGATCGGCAGTAATGAAATTCGACCTTGTTGTTTTACAGTATTCTCTCCCACATCTTTATTTATATTCTTTTCCCGAGCAATTTCCTTCAACCAGTCCAAAACCATGTTCTCTTTTACGCAATGTGTGCGTAAAAATATTTGCTTGCATACTCTTAAACAATCACCTGCTTTTTTTAAGTAGTATTGTAAAGTCTCGCTTCTCTTTGATACATTATCCTCTTTTTTATTTCTTTGTCTATTAATAGGCTTAGATACAATTAATAATGACACATACACTTTTCTTGTAGACCGTGTCATTTCTGACCATAAATGATCAAAAGTATTTTCCTTCTCCGTTTCTGAAAAATCGCGACATTTTAGCACCGAATTCTCACGCAAGGAAGGTTTGCAGTTGCACCACTCTTGCATTTTTCTCTCCTCTTTTGGCAAATCGTATCTCCATTTTCCGTCGACCATTTTTCTTCCTAAATATTCTTTTCCTTGTTCGCGAAACGACTTTCTTTTACTTTCATTCCATGTTTCATTGTCCACAAACTGTCTCTTGTTTCTTTTCCTTTTCATCTTTGGTAAGTCAAATTGTCGAGCTGTGTCATTGCTTACATCATCCTGGGGATGGATGGTAGTTTCAGGTACATAATTTGGATCCCCATCATCAGCATCCATTTCTTCATCTTCCTCATGTTTACTATTTAATTCAGGCACATAATCCGAATCATCTATTTGCACTTTTATCTTTTCTTCAATATTTTTATATGGTAAATGTTCTAAAAGCACATTATTTTCTAGTCCAGTCTTTTTATTTTCTTCAATATCACATTCTGTACTCGCTAAGGCTTTGCAAACTTTATTTATTTCTAAGGTTATCTCGTCAGTCTTTCCATCACTTATTCCTATATTATCATATTGTTGTGTAAAACTAAAACTATATTCGATGGCACAACGGGAATCAGTAATTTCTGGAATGTCTAATAATAACAAGCTTTTATCGTCTTGTATTGATGTCGGATTGCACAAACTAATATCGTTCGTGATATTGTCTATTTGTTGATTATAAGGTAACATGATACTAGTTTCAATACTCTGTTCATTATCACAGAAAGGTGTTACAGAGTTACAATTGTGCATTATAGGACATGAATGATTCTTTCTAGCAACTGATTCAGGATCAGATTTATTTAAAATTTTATTCAATTGTACAATATTGTTTTGATTGTTCATTGCATTGTGTGTGACTTGGTTATTCGGCAGCATGCCTATATTTCTTTTTTATCTTTGACATACTCAATTATGTTTGCTAAAATGAAATTAAAAACTAATTATAAATTATTTTAATATGCGAAACCTCTCGCAAATCCCACAAGTCCAACTGTGTTAATATATAACATAATATAGAATAACTTACCTTTAGTAAAAATTGCGAATAAAGTCACACTGATTCTGGATGTTTACATATAATTTGTTATTCAACAGAACCCTCTGTTCACTGCATGCTGGATTACTCTGCAATGAGGACTTACGGCTATTACGTGTCGGGTTCAACGAGCATGGACTTGCGGGGTTTATTAAATTTTAAATTAACGAAAAAGTAATTTTTACAGAAATATGTAATTTTTTCAGTCAATAGATTATTTTTTCCTCAACAGATGCTACTAAAATGTCAATTTAGACCAAAAGTGGACTTACGGGTTTTGCAGATTAGGCCGACGATATGTATATATTATATGTAAAAGAATATATAAAACTATTTTTATATACTTGAAATAATTGGGAGAAATTTTTAATGTGTTTTGATAATATTTTTGTGTCTCTCTAATAGTCTGTGCTTTGTTTTTGTAAGTTATTACTCATTTAACCACAAAAAGGAAAAAAAAATGTATAGCTTGGGGTTTTTTATATTTTAATTAACAAAATGGCAATAAAATTAATAAGAAATGTTATAATGGTCTTTGAATTTATTATGTATTAACCAAACATTTTTTATACTTTATGGTCTGTAGATTTGCACAAATCATTTTAAACGTCACAGCTCAATATTATTTCAGATCGATCCATTTTGTAATATGTACTTCGTCTTATGAATTTTAAATGATGTTACATATTTGGCAAATATCACAATTATATTTTGAGTGATTTCTATGAATGCTTTAATCAAGGACTTAAATAATAAATTACACTGGTCTACAGTGGTTTTGTTGCCCTAGATATACGATTGATTTGGGATATATTTATGCTCACAATTCATAAAACTATCAATGATTTTGTAAGATTTACTCTCGTTTTTAAAAATCGGAAAACAAGAAACAAAATAATAAATATATTTATGTCAGTTTTGTTTTGAAAAATTAGGATACATCGAAGTAAATAGAGAGGAAAATGTCGAAAACATATGTTATATTTCCATAAAACACCTTTTATGAGCTTTTCTTTTATGATTTTTCAGGGGACAATCTCTTTTTAAAGACCAGCAGTAATCTGCCATCACGTGACAATCCCATCGACCCTGATACCTTTCCCCCATCACTTTTAGATCCTGGTGGAACCGCTCTCCCTGTTCCTCACTATAATTTCCTAAATTATCCGGAAATTTATCCAGATGATTGCGGAGATAATGTAACTTGATTCTCATATTTGCTCCTAGAGTCTGGAAGTTTGTCAGCATATTTTGTACAATTTCTTCATATAAATGAAACACAACCAGAAGGAAGGATACCTTTACACGTTAAGGACAGGAATAACAGAAAGGAAAATTAGCAGCGCCGGGACTTTTTTCCTTTCTGTTATTCCTGTCCTTAACGTGTAAAGGTATCCTTCCTTCTGGTTGTTCTCATTTATATGTTACATACACGTTTATATTAATTTCAATTATTATTTAATTTCTTCATAATTTGATGCTTTACCACCTGTGAAATTTTCGACTACCAACACAAAACTTTTCCAAGCTTTACTTTCAATAAAATCTGTGTCTGTCATCAATTGCCGTATTTGAGGACCATCAAATATTTCACCTTCAACTTTTCCATACTAAGCTTCGGAAATTTTCTACAAATGTAATTAAAACAATCTCCTTCCTTGTCCAACGCTTTTACGAATTGCTTTATCTTTCCTAACTTAATGTTTGGCCTGTAATGGTGGAAGTATGATTTTGTCTCTGCTCACCAACGGCTCATTAGCTTTACCGGCAGTTAAAGAATTTCTTACAGGCCAAACATCTTGTTCCCAATGAAGTTGCTTTGCTCTACTGTCCCACATACAAATGAATTAATCAATTTTTTCTAAAACTAATTTTACATTTTCATATTTTTCTTTGAGTTTTGTTGAATGGGCAATTGG